ATTTTGTAGGTAATTTGGGTGAGAAAGACTCGCTCTATGCATCATGATGGGATTCATATGGGGTTTTGAGCACCTAATTAATTAATATTTTATTTATAATGATCTAATCATTTTAATTGCAAGTAAAACACTGACATATATTTATTTTAATGCACTTATAAAAAAGAAAAGATATTTAACATGCTGAATTTATATTTGTCAGAATTTGGGAGAAAATTATAAAAATTGTATTATTACGAAAATAAGAGTACAAAAAATATATACTAGTGGGCTTGGGGGTAAATTAAAACAAACAATACAAAATAGATATCTAAATCTAACACCCTCCTCAAACTTAAGTAGGGGTTGTAGAGATCAATTTGAGTTTTCCCAAGAGCAATCGGAAGCGTCTGGGAAGAAAATACTTGGTGAAGATATCTACTGTATAATTTTCGGAGGAGACCAAAACGAGATGGACAACCCCGCCGACGATATGTTGTTGAATGAAGTGACAATCAAACTTAATATGCTTGTTGTACTCGTGGAAGGTATCATTGTGGGCCATTTTTATAGCACTATGACTATCGCAGTGAAAAGCCATAGAAGATGACTGAGGAACACCAAGGTCAGCAAGTAATCGATGAAGCCATAAAAGTTCTGACGTAGAGTCAGCAAGAGTACGATACTTGGACTCGGAACTCGATCGAGAAACTAAAGTCTGCTTTTTGATGCGCCAAGAGATGAGAAAATCACCCAGGAAGAAGCATAAACCAGTGGTCAAATGATGATCGGTATGATCTCCATCCTAATTAGCATCATAGTAACTGTTGAGAGTCAAAGATAAGTGATATGAAAAGTGTAAACCATGCAAGAGTACCTTTCACATAACGAAAAATATGTAAGATAACAGAGTGGTGAGAGTTCCTCGGAGCGGCCATGAACTGACTCACAATATGAACTGCATGAGCGATATCTGGTCGCGTAACAGTCAAATAGATCAAACTCTCAACAAGTTGACGATATAGGGTGGGATCATCAAGAGAAAAACCATCATGAGGGGTAAGTCGAACGTTGTAGACAAAAGGTGTGGAGGCTATCTGACAGTCTATGAGACCAACTCGAGTAATAAGATCTGAGATATACTTAGGCTGAGACAAAATGAAACCATCAGGAGAATCTGAGACTTCAAGTCCCAAAAAGTAACGAAGGTACCCAAGCTCTTCATCTCAAGTTATTGACTAAGATATGTCTGTAGATTAGAAATACCAGACACATCATCTCCTGTGATGATCATATCATCAACATCAAGTAAGAGTATGACTATCCCTGAGGAAGAACGACAAAGAAATAAACCGAATCATAACTAAATATAGTAAAACCAATTTCCAAGAGTGTAGAGCTAAATGTGGCATACCAAGCCCGAGGGACCTGGTTCAATCTATATAACGCATGACGTAAGCGACAAACCTTTCCAGAAGGTGAGAAACCGGATGATGAGTCATATAAACTTCTTTATAAAGAGTGCCATATAAGAATGTATTCTTGATATCTAATTGAAGAGGGGACCAGCGACGAACAACATCAACGACAAAAAGATAATGAACAGTAGTGAGACGAGCAATAGGGGTAAAGTTCTTCTCATAGTCAACTCCATATTCCTGAGAATAACCCTTAGCCACCAGACGAGCCTTGTAGTGCTCAACAGAACCATCATAATTAGTCTATATTTTGAAAATTCACTTGCACTCTTGCCAGAAGACAAATCCACTAAAATCCAAGGGAGTCTTTTCCAGAGCCTGCAATTCCTCAGTCATAGCTTACTGCCATAATGGATCAACACTTGCCTCACGAAAGGACATAGACTCATGATGAGATAATATGACAGAGTAACAATGATAATCATACAAATGAGCATGTGGATGACTTACTTGATGTGATCGACGATGTATGACAGGTCCAAGCACCGTAGACGGATCAACATTTGAAGACGAGGTCGTAAATGGATCAGAGGTCTCAACAGGAACATGATCCGGAGGCAGAGATGGAGTCGTAGGATCAGGGTCAAGAAACAAGGGAGGACATGACGACATGAATGAAGGTGAACCAGAAATAGATGAGATATGAAATTTACACAGAGTGGAAAATATGATACTCTTCCAAAAGGTAATATGACGAGATATACGCAACCGTTTAGAAATTGGATCCCGAAGCCTATAACATTTATACTCTACTCTATAACCAAGAAGACAACATAAATGCACACGAGTTTCCAATTTAGAACGTTCATACGGAGGGATAAGGACGAAACTAACACACGAAAGGGACGAAGGATACTATAATCACGTAGTTGAACATATAGACATTCAAAAAGGGTACTATTATGGAGGATAGAGGATGGAATATGATTTATGGTATGGACAACAGTAAGAGCAGCTTTCCCCCATAACCTATCAAGACAAGAGGTAGACAAAAGAGATGCATGGACAATATCTAGAATATAACGATGTTTGCGCTTAGCACGACCATTTTGTTGACCGGTGTATAGACAAGAACGCTGAATCAATGTACCTTAAGCATAGAGAAAATTCAATAAGGTAGAATCTCTATACTCAAGACCATTATCAATACGGAAGTTTTATATGGAACAGGAAAATTAAGTTCTAATCATTTGAGCAAATTGAATGTATATTTGAGGTAATTCTGAGTGGTGTTTCAAAAAATATATTAATGTAAAACGGAAGTAATTATCTATGAAAATGACATAATAACGACATCCACTCATAGAGGGAACATGAGAAGGACCTCAAATATCATAATGAACCAAGGAAAACGGTTTACTTGCGACCGACATATGTTTTGAAAAAGATAAGACTGGTTGTTTTTCTAAATGATATTATAAGCAATCAAATGACTAAAAACGAGTAAAACCCAAATGATCCTTACTAACAAGAGAATAAATTTTAGAGGAAGATGCATAACCAAGATGAAGGTGCCACTGAAGAGAAATTACGGGGAGAAATCTTCAAAGATTGTACCTCAAATAGTTGACCAATTTTTCGACCTGTCCTAAGAATTCGACCTGTACGTGAATTCTGAACTTTTACACCAGAAGAAGAAAAAATAACAGTAAGTCTCTACTCAAGTAGTTGGCTTACTGATACAATATTTAAAGTCAATTGAGAAATGCAGTAAGTGTCAGGAAAGGGATATAAATGGTAGAGATACAAAACCTGAATGAGTGATATCCATGCAACTCTTATTAGCAGTCTGTATATGTAGTGAAGAAGACACATGATGTGCATCGGTCTAGAGACCAAATGTAGGTGTCATATGATGATAGCAACCGGAATCAAAATACCACGAATTGTCCATCACATAAGAAGAATTGGAAGCAAGAACTCGATGCGAGAGAGTCACGATATTTCGGACTGAGGAAGCCATGCCAATAACAGACGGAAGAGTAAAATCAACTCCGATGACAAAATCAACCACACTACAATGTAGGGAATAAAAAACATAAGGCGACGGATGAAGAACAGCGGTCGGAGGTGTAGGGATGCGCCCTCACACGCGGCTGGAAGACGGTGGAAGAAATATGGTTTCCACCGCAATTTACATCGGCGGCACGTGGACGGCGCACACGCGGAGGTTGGTGGTGAGGTTTGGGTGGTCAGCCGGCGACGACGTTGTGGAGGCGATGGTGGTGGCGGTGTCAACTGGAGCACGGCGGCGGCGGCGGCGGCGGCGGCTAGGATTTTCGATTTGAAAATTTGGACTCTGATACCATATTAAAATTTGGGAGGAAATTATAAAATTTTATTATTACGAAAATAAGAGTATACAAATATATATATATATGCTAGTGAGTTCGGACTAAACTAAAATAAATAATACAAAATATATATCTAAATCTAACACTATATTATATAAGCGTTAGCATTGCACTAGACAGGCCGACTTGGTAAAACTAACCCCTTAGCTCAATATGATACATTACTGTTTGAGCTTTTCCTCCCGACGAAGCTCTTATCCTCTGACACGAGGAACAGAGCAACATGATACTATAACCTTTGTAAACTCTCCTCTTTCATATAATAAAATATTTTTCCTTCTTTGACTTTTTGTATTATGTTTTTTTTTCTTTTTTCTTAAAAAAAATTACTAAAAAATAATTTATATTTAAAATATTATATCATACCATTATTAGATGTAAATATTTTATTATTCAAAATTCAAATTTAAAATATAAACTTTCAACCAAGCATTTAAACTTAAGAATTTGATTGATTTTTATTTGAAATCAAAATCAAAATCAAAGTATTTAATTTGTAAATTTTTTTAATATATTATTTCATTTAACAAAATATTTATTATTATAATATTATTTAAATTCAAATTTAAAGTTAAATCAAAATTTCAAATTAAAATCAAAATGAACCAAATTTAACTTGACTAATTGATTTCTATTTAAAAAATATACTATTTTCTCCGTACAAAATTAACATAAAATTATTGTTTAAATTAAAATTTCATTTTACTTCCAACAGCAACATAGAACAAATAATTGGATAATTATGAACTAGTATCATTTATATAGTAAATGTAAAAAGAGAAAAAACATAAATAACAATTATTTGGGGACTTAATAATATCACTAAATAAAAAATAGATTTGTTCATATAATAATTTTAAATTAATATATTTTTTTTAAAATTAAATAATGAGTAAATATAATATTATACTCCAATAGGTTCAAAAAATCTAGTACTATCCCTTTACAAAAATACAAAAAATAGAGCTAAAATTTCCAACTAAAAGAATATTCTTTATAAAATAAATATAATACTATAGTATTAAAAAAAATTAAAATAGAAAAAAGAAAAAAAAAAACAAAGCGCCCCTCAAGGGAGGGTATTTCGGTCTTTTTGCACGTCACTTGGTAAATAGATTTAAACCCTCCCATCCCATCCAGTCTCACGCCATTCTTCTTCCGCTTTTCCTTGCCTGCTGTCTCTGTCACTCTCGTTTCTTCACTCGCCCAATTTCAGCGCGAGCGGGCGGGCGGGAGAGGAATTCTGCAAAGCTGGAGAGGGGTTTCTGAAAATGATCTCGATAACCTCCGAGGAGTTGAACTACCTTATCTTCCGATATCTTAATGAATCAGGTACACACCTTTTTTTACAAAAAATTGGGCATGTGCGTGTTTAGGTGTGCGTCCGCCTTTGTTTCTTAAGCCTGTGTGCTTATGGCATCTTCGCGTTGGCGGATGGGCTTTTCCTTATCCTTTTTGGCTTCAATTGTGATGGGATGAATATTAGTTTTAGAGGTATATGTACATACATATAATATGTCTGTTATTCGGCAGGCGGGTTTCGATACTGGTTGGAAAGTGGAATTTGTTGGTGTTTTACCTCGGTGAATCTCAGATTACTGTTCCCCAAGTCAAATGTATGTATGGATTGCAAGAAAATACATTTAAATGAATATACAGAGCATAAGCTGAATGGTCTTAAAATGGACCAAGAGATTTTCAATTTTTTTTTATCAGACTAAGTTACTTAACAACGCAGAATAGGTTTTTAAGAAACAGATAAGTTGTAATCAGTCAAAAGTAATAACTTTTGCTGTAAATGATATTTAATAGAATTATAATGTTTTGCTAATGTGTTCTCAATTCCCAGAATTAGTGAATTGAAATTTGTCCAGACTCCCGAAAATCTGCATTGACGTGCTAATGAAGACAAGTTTTTATTAGCCAAAGTAGGTATGGTGCTTTGATAATGGTTTATGAGGGTGCTTTGATAATGGTTTATGAGGGTGCTTCTGCCTATAAAGTAAATTGAAATATTTTAATACTATTTAAGATGGTAGATTGATTGAGTTTGCCTATGTTTGTTGATATACTCAATTTATTCCATAGTAGATTTGAATTAAAGAGTACAGGGGGTTCATTCCTAATGTGATCAAAGCTCAAAACCTTGTTTCTAGAATTTAATAAGGGGGGTGCTAATTTTTTGAACTTCCAAAATAATGCAATTTATATATCTATATATATAAGGACGTGTGCTATTTGTTGTCGGATACTCTGGGAAATCAGAGATGAGAGGAAAGAAGATTCTGTATCTCCACTGTGATTTGAATTGATAATACACAGAGTTAAAAAGGAGATTACAAGGAGGATAAATAAACAAACTAACTGATTCCCTCAATTAAGGGACCGACTAGATCCCTCAATTTAAGGGATTACAAATTAATTTTCTAACATATTTGAATTACAACTTGATTCTCCTAACATATTTACATTATAACTCAGCTATTCTTTGACACTCCCTTCAAGCTGAGGAATAGATGTCTTCCATTCCCAGCTTGGATACAAGATCATGGAAACTCGAACTGTTGAGCCCCTTTGTTAGAACATCGGCTAATTGTCTCTCTGATGGAACATAGGACATACATACTAACCCTTCCTCCAATTTTTCTTTGATGAAATGTCTATCAATTTCAATATGCTTTGTCCTATCATGTTGTATAGGATTATGAGCTATATTAATAGCTAACTTATTGTCACAGTAAAGCTTCATAGGACCCTCCCATTTGACTCTCAAATCATTTAAAATGCATTAATCTCTTCTCTTATAGCATCCCTCAATTCCCTTTTTGACAATGCCTCAGACACATTGTGAGGGATGACAATTGTGTTCAAACTCACAATGAATCCCTTTTGGGCTGGCGATAGGCGCTTAAAAGAGACATAGTGAGATAGAGGATAGAGTGGTCGTTTTGTGCATTCTCTGGTTCCTTTTCTAACAACAATGGGAAGATCCAAAATAGTAGTTGAATCAATGGACTGTTCAACAGATTTTGTGTAAGGGTAGATCTGATCTTACCGTGATTTCATTCTCAGAATTTGGATTGGATTCTTGGACTTGTGTCAGTTCAGGAACGGTCTTTCTCCTTGAATACACCTGAGGAAACTTTGGAAAATTGTGAGTGACGCTGGTTGGAGAAGGAGATGATATGGGTTCAGTGATAGGATCGGGTGACTCAGATGTGATTGGTTCAGAGGACTCGGGTTCAACCGGAACATGAGGAGAGTTTGGTTTTGAGTGACTACGGGGTGGCACATGCGGAAGGTCAAGGGTTTTAAGTGGTTCGAAGGACTCACAAGTACTATCTTCCATCCTTGAAGAGAGGACTTGAAAAAAGGTCTATTTTCTGTGAAAGTGATATCTGCAGAGATGTAAAAATTTTTGATAAAGGGGTTGTAACATTTGTATCCCTTTTGAGTGGATGAGTAACTGAGAAAAACACATTTGATGGCTCTAGGGTCTAGCTTCCCTCTATGTTGTTTGCGGACATGAACAAAGGCGGTACACCCAAATACCCTAGAAGTGAGGCCATTTGAAGTTCTGAAGTGAGGGTAAAAGCTATGAAGGGCCTCTACGGGGCTTTTGTTTTCTAACACAATGAAGGGAAGCCTATTTATCATATATGTGGCAGTAAGGACGGCTTCTCCCCAATAGAACTTAGGAACATTCTCTTGAAACAGTAAGGCTCGGGTGGTGTTGAGTAAATACCTATTCTTTCTGTCAGCTACTCTATTTTGTTGGGGTGTGTCAACACATGATGAATCATGGATAATCACCTGTGATTGAAAATAAGGTGACAGAATCTGATTGAAATAATCTCTAGCATTGTCTAAACTAAAGCTCTTTATTTTGACCCCAAATTGATTTTGAACCATTGAATGAATATTAGGTATAACAGTGCTAACATCATATTTTTGTTTAAGAAGAAAGAACCATGTGATCCGAGTGCAATCATCAATTAAGGACACAAACTAACGAGCCCCAGAAACATTAGGTATAGTGGAAGGACCCATATGTCACTATGAATCAAATGAAAAGGATGAGAACCTGTTTTATTGCTAATAGGAAAAGATGCACGGATATATTTTTGCCAATTCACTGATGTCACAATGAAACTCAGAAATATCTGAACCTTGGAACAAATGAGGAAATATAATTTTTAAAATCCTAAAAGAGGGATGACCCAGACGTAGGTGATATAGCCAAATGACATCTTTATTCGAGGAACTAAGGAAAGAAGAAGGCAAGTTACTTGTAAGTTTTTTGAATGGTTCAAGGTGGTAAAAGACCGTTCCTTTCCTTAGCAAGTCCAATCCTCCCCCCAAGTCCTGGTCCTGAAAAACACGATAAGAAGAGCAAAAAAGAGCATAGCATTTAAGATCATGAGTCAACTTTTGAATGGAAACAAGGCTTGTTGACAGTTTGGGCACATGGAGAACATTTTTAAGGATAAGGCTAGGTCTGATAGGTATATCTCCAATCTCTGCAACAGTGGCTAAGGAGCCATTGGCCACAACAGTTTTTCTATTACTTGGACATGGGGTATAGATGTGGAAGAGTTGAGATGTGGGTTACTTGGACATGGGATATAGATGTGGAAGAGTTGAGATGTGGGGGTCATATGGTCTATAGCACCGGAGTCTATAATCCAAGAGTTGGTATTGAATTTGTCCAAGACATTCATGCACACAGGTTTACCTGAAAGAGCCATTGAACATGTTCCAGAAGGCTTCTCAAGAGACCCCAACAAACTTCTCAATCTCTCAATTTCTTCACTGCTGAACCCCTCTATGGTTGGATTTTTCTCAACATTGGGCTGTTCTGCCATATGCGCTTGAAGCCTTTGTTGCTGCCCCCCACGGTAGCCCTACTCTCGGCTTGAAGGTTTACCATTCAGCTTCCAACACTTCTCCCTTGTATGTCTGGGTTTCTAGCAATAAGTACACCAAGGATTATCTTTATTTTCTTTCCCTTGGTTATCTCTACCAAAGTGTTTGGGCATATCATTCTTCGACTTCTCTTGATTTGTTTTTGCTGCTAAGGTTGACCCATCCATAGTATGTGGTTCTAGCATTACACTCCTCCGATTTTCTTTTGCTTGGATTAATGAGATTGTCTCTTCTAGAGATGGCGTATCCTTCTTGCCGAGGATTTGGATCCTAACTGGATCATATTCAAAATTCAATCATGCCAAAAAATCATATATCCGATCCTTCTCAATGAACTTCTTCAAAGTGGCAACATCATCAGGGCATTTCATCTCAATGACCCGGTAGTGATCCAATTCCTGCCAAAGATTTTGCAACATCGTTGCATACTCTGTGACAAATTTGTCTCCTTGCTTGGTGGCTCCGGTTTTTTCTTTGATTTCATACACAAGGGCAGCATCACGGGCTTCGAGTATGTGCGGTTGATATAGTCCCAGATTTCCTTTGCAGTATTTAAGAACATACAAGTGTCATGGAATCCCATAACCAGGACATAATCATGGTATCTCCCTCATCCTATGCTTCAAATGTTGGATTCCTTTTTTTTGGTCCGGTTTCAAGGAGGTGATTAAGCCTCCCTTTGCCCTTGAGGTATGTGCGGACAATTTAGGACCATTTGAGATAGTTCTTCCCATTGAACCTATTGGATGCCGGGATATTCTGCAGTTCTCCAATTTTCTGAATAGAGTTAGATTCTTCGGAAGGGTTGGAATTGTTGGAGATGGTGGTTTCAGACATGACTTAGTGAAAGAAGAAAAATTCACAACAATTAAGGCGGGAACAAAACACAGTGATGAAGGCTGCTTGAAGAAGACTACAAAACCCTAGAAAAATTCCTAGAGCTCTGATACCATGTGGGAAATCAGAGATGAGAGGAAAGAAAGATTATGTATTTTCACTATGATTTGAATTGATAATACACAGAGTTAAAAAGGAGATTGCAAAGAGGAAAAAGGAAACAAACTAACTAATCCCCTCAATTAAGGGACTGAATTCTCTTAACATATTTGAATTACAAATTGATTCTCCTAACATATTTATATTATAACTCAGCTATTATTTGACAGAAACTGTATTTTTCGAGCTATCATATTTAAAAAGGATTGCAAAATAACAAACTACATCAACAGTAACAACTACATATTGCAAATCTTAATTTTGTAAGAGTCACTAAGTAAGTATCGTTTGAAATTGACAAATGCTACAATTTTTTTTTGCAAAAAATTTGACTATTAAGAAAGTTATCAAATATTATCTCTTTTTGTTCATTCCAATTGTGGCTCTATTCTTCTGATGTTTGATTTCTATTTTTTTTACTATGCTACAATCTTCATAATAAAAATATATTATCTTTTTTCACAAAATGTTACAACAAATTACTATTCAAATAAAAATTTAAATCAAAATTCAATATTAAATTCAAAACAAACACACCTGAACCACACCATGCATATTCTATACTATATGTATAGATACTCTATAAATGAATGGGGCTCATGGGAAAGGTGGGGGAGGGGGAGAGGGGTTGCCCCCACATAGTTCTGTGCCTGTTGGCAGCGTCTTGTAGTGACAAGGATCTGATAAGCACTATCTCATTAAAGTTTTCTTTGATATTTTTGCTAGTTGTTTGCAGTTTGCATTATTAACTCATTTTTAAGATGTTCAACATTGTGTTCTACTTTTCTTGTCATGTTGGCAAATGTTATTATCTACAATTGACTAATCATTCATTAAACAATCTATCTCATGGTGAATGAAGATGGGATCTGATGTGGTTTCCAAACCTTTAATAACCTTAAGCCATGAAATATTTGCAGAAAACTTATTACATGCAAAAAAAGAATTTTCAAATTATTCATGCAATCCGAGAATCATTTATAACATCCTTAGGTGATGCAATTAGAGGTCATGTGCTTGAATATTCTCATTGAAAAGGTCCTCAGAGGATCTAGCTTTTTATAACTTAAACTTACTTGGATGTTAAATTGCTAAGATGTTATTGTGATAAATGGTTTTTCAGGACTTACACATTCTGCATTTTCTTTGGGATATGAGGCAGGCCTCACTAAAAGTAGCATTGATCCAAATGCTGTTCCTCCCGGCGCCCTTGTTACATTTATTCAGAAAGGGATTCTATATCTTGAACTAGAAGCAAATTTGAGTAATGTTAGATTGACATCATTCAAACCTTTTACTTTTTCCTTTTGAGTTCTTTGTTTTGTATAGTTGAGAATGTCTTAGGATTCATAATTTTCGAGGCTCCAGGATGATATGGACGTTGATGAAGATTTCCAGTTCCTTCATCCTCTGGATCTTATAACAAAGAGCGTGGATGAACTTCAAAAGATTGTAAAACAGAAGAAAGAAAGCATTCAGAAGGATAAATCCAAGGGAAAGGAGAAAGAAACAATGGAAAATGGCCGGTCACAAGATCGTGGACCTGTACTGGAAAAAGATAAAGAAGTTGCAAAAGATAAGGATAATGAAAAGCAACTGCGAGAGAAAGAAAAAGAGCGGGATAGAGACAAAGTAGAGAAAGAAAAGGAAAAGACAAAAGGAAAAGACAAGGAAAAACCAGTTGAGGATGTCACTGACGTAAATCATGGTGGAGATAAGAATAATAGCAGACCCGAGGCGAATGGAACTGATGGAGGTAAATTTTGGTTCAGCTAATTTAGCATATCTCAGCTGCACATGATTAAATGTAATTAAATCTTGCCAGAAACATCAGGATCTTCAATATGTATTCTTGTTAAAGTGCATTTATTATTCGTGATCTTTTATGATATTTAACTTGGTATATATGGTAATGGGCGCGATGGTAGGATCAGAGCCAATGGATGTTTGCCAGAGTTTACCGACCTTGCCGTGCGAAATCCCAACTAGTGATGTAACTGTTTTTCAAGGCCACACTTCTGAGGTTCAATCGCCATTTGGTTTCTTAATCTATTTTAGTATGAGGTCAAGAGCAATTCTGTTGAGTGTATATTGACAACTTGTCTATGTTCTTACTTTTCACAGGTTTTTGCATGTGCTTGGAACCCCTCCGGGTCACTTCTTGCTTCTGGGTTAGAATAACAGCTTAAAATTATCGATTTGATTTTCAAGAGTGAATATCTGCTTTTTAATTGTCTTGGGGAAAACTATTATTCAATCTCCTTGTCTATATTTTGTGCTTGGAAATTGGAATTCTGCGTAGTTTTGAATCTATTCAGTATGTGAGCATGTTAAGACATCAGCTCTATTTTTGGGCCATACTATCCTAGGCTTTCTAACTATTGATATCTGCTCATTGGAGTGGTGTTACAATGAAGGTATGCACATTTATATAACAATCTAGGCTTAACTCTCATTGGACGATTGATGTAAAACTATCAAGCCTAATCTTACTTGCAACTGAAGCAAAACTCTGTACTTTCTTTTGCACCTGGGGCTGGAATAATTCCCCATCTTCCTAGAAAATCCAAACCTTTTTTTTTTGCCTGAAATGGAAAATGTAATTAAAAATAAGAAGCTTTGAAAAAAATCTTGCTGCTAAACTTGGGATAAAAGGAATATGTAGTGCTCGATGTGCTTTATCTTTTCCTTTTATTTAAATCGGAGTCTTAGTGTCGCGAATCTTCTGAACACTTTAAGCATGCACGGTGTGATGCTATTGGACTTGATAGACATATATTATTTACTCTCTATAGCTAATTTCACACAAGCCCATGGATGATTTTAGTCCACACTTTTGAGCGTAGCAATTTTCTTTCGTTTTATGTATTTGGCTTATGCATTTTCCACATTGATTCTTCCTATAGGTGAAGTACCCTAGACATTCAACCTATTGTTTTGTAGGTCAGGAGATTCAACTGCCAGAATTTGGACCATTGATGGGCCAGCTAGCTCCAATTTGGAAAATGGGAATCCCAATGTTGTACTGAAGCATTTCAAGGGTAGGACAACTGAGAAAAGCAAAGATGTAACCACCCTTGATTGGAATGTAGGTCTTGTCTATTTTATGTATTAAACCATATCAGTTTTTATCTTTAGAACTATGTGACTGTCTAATGATCTACTTGGTCTTTAGTGTCCTATGTTGTGTCAAATTTGTTATGTGTATTCTAAAACAATATGAATAAATTGGTTGTTTTCCTGATTTACATAGGGTGATGGAACGCTACTTGCTACAGGTTGTTATGATGGACAAGCGAGGATATGGACTAAAGATGGTATGCGCTGTTATTAATGTGGGCCAATTATACTTTTGCAATTTAAATCTTGTTATTGCTGTGGTCTTACACCTGATGAACAAAACTCTGTTACCTCTGTTAAAGACACTTAGCGAAGCAAAGACTGCATGGATCTATTGCTTACTCTTTTGAGTTGATATTGTGGACTTGGTAGTTTCTGCACATATTACATACTTCATACTATTTGTACTCTGCTTTATTGCTGTGTATTTTGCTTCATTAGTAGGGAGGCTTAACTTTATGTTTTATGTTAGAAATTCACGCTATATATGGATTGGAAATAAAAGGAGTTTATTAAACTCACCTTACTCTTGGTCAAATCATTTGGTTTATGTATCTTATATAGGCTATTTTGGTTGGTACTGGTGAGGTTTATGTAGTTACGTGACCTGAGAAATTCATTTGAGAATACGTAATAGCAATTTACTCATTGATTGTGTGCATGACATGCTTATGCATATTATTACTACTATTATCCAGGGGAGCTGATAAATACATTAAATAAACACAAAGGGCCAATTTTCTCTTTGAAGTGGAACAAGAAAGGTGATTTGCTTCTTAGTGGAAGTGTTGATAGGACTGCAATTATATGGGATGCCAAGTCAGGGGACTGGAAACAGCAATTTGAATTTCACTCAGGTTCTTTTTGATCCTTTCTTCTCCATATGCAAGCCTGTTGAATCCATGTCCTTTCTGATAGGAGCAAAAATCTGAGAAACATTTATGGCTTTTAAACTTCCTGTCATTCTTTTGTTGATTAATTGCAGCTCCTGCCCTTGATGTGGATTGGCGAAACAATAATACATTTGCTACATGCTCTACCGATAGCATGATTTATGTTTGTAAAATTGGAGAGACTCGACCAATCAAAACTTTTGCAGGCCATCAGGTTTGTCTTTGGGTTACTATTTGACAACCAACAAACTGTTTGCTTGATTGAGCTGTGGTATCTTTCAAACAGTAATATCGGATATTTATGAACCATTCTCTCTGTTACAATTAAATTGGCAACTTGGTTGAATTACCATTTTCTCTGTTACAATTAAATTGGCAACTTGGTTGAGTTATTCTTCTGTTGGATACATGGTGCAATTTTAAATCATCACCCACCCATAATCTGCACATTTGTTAGATTGGGCGGAATGGTTCGTTATACTAAGAAGTGTTATTGTTTCTGTGCCCAAACAAAAGCCTGCGGGGTAGAAAACTTTGAAGAAAGAACAAAAAAGTGGAGCATACTTGAAGAAACTAACTAAAAATAATAAAACCATCATTATGTTGTCTAGGCTGTATTGTCCAGTCTTGCCATTTTTCACCAATTTAAAAGTCTTCTACTATACTTTGTAGTAATTTGTACCCCTGCAGCTTATTAACTTCTACAACTCTTGTTTTTTTTTTTTAAATAAAGATTCCTATCTTATTGTCTGCCCTTATTTAGCATTCGAGAATACACTCACATCGTGAGTTAGTTTTGTTGTGGATGAACTGTCTCTTCTTTGCAACTCAACTGAGTGGCAACTGGTTAACAGGCAGTTATCTATGCATTTTTGACTCAATTATAACTGTGTTGTCTGGATCAATTTATGGTGTTGAATAATCCGTTTATACACAATGGATCTAGTTTCATGTGCTAAAAATAATTTATATTGCGTGGACACGTGTATGCATGCATGCTATCGTGTTAGTTATCGTTATTCTGGGTTTTGCAGTATTTCTGTGTTTTGCAGTATCAAGTTACTGTTTGAGAAAAGTAATCACTAAATAAAGTTCCACGTACTAAATCCATTTTCCTGCTGTACTACTTTTCTATTCATTAAGATTTGAATGTGCTTCTTTAGGGTGAAGTTAATGCTATAAAGTGGGATCCCATTGGTAACCTCCTGGCATCATGCTCAGATGATTCTACGGCAAAGGTTAGTGGCAGTAATGTTCATGGATCATTTTCTGGTAATGGGCATTAATATCCTGTTCTGTTATTGACATGAGTGTAGCCTATTTACACGAGTATAGATTTGTCCCTATCAGAAGATGGCATGGAAACAATTTTTTGGGTTAATTTATATTCTTCTTTTAAAGTGCAAAGTGAATACAACATCCTTCTGAAAGAACACCCATATGAAACCCACAATAGTCCAGACTCTAATTGCATTATTTGAAAAAGATTAGTAGTTTTTACCTTTTATAAACATTTTGCTTTTTAGGAAGATAAAATGTAGAATTTATTTATATGTATGTCTTTTATGCATGTATGGATTTTTCTATTTATATGAATATATATAATAAAATGTCCATACCGCTTGTTTCGTTTCTTTATTTGTTTAATTTTATTATGATTTGGATTACACTGGTGCAGATCTGGAGTATGAAACATGACACCTGTCTGCTTGATTTGAGGGAACACACCAAAGTACGGAATCAGGTTTCATTTTTGTATCTTTTGTGTCAGGGTCTGCCACACTTCAAGTTGACATGTCTTTTGCATTGTTTTCAGGAGATATATACTGTGAGATGGAGTCCAACAGGGCCTGGCACCAGTAACCCCAATCAGCAGCTGGTACTAGCAAGGTGATTTTTCTTCACCATTATTATCGTGTGATATATTGGTGATGTTATTTCATAGTTTCATTTATGCAAAATTGCTGTGAGGATATCAAATCAGGAGCAAATTCTAAGCTCATTGAAATAAATGAAATGATAATCCTGATGCTCAAGAACTATGTATCACAAAACCTGCTTTGTAGGGTCAAGGCTGTTGTGTGATTTCTATTTGAAGAGAGTTTTTTAATTGGAAGATAGGTCTTGTATCATATTTTAAATGATACGTAATAGTTTTCGAAACCACGGGAACTTGAGAGCAGCACAGCTATATATGTATGATATATTGAAATATTATATGAACTTTTGCTGACTACTTTGTCAGGAAACAATTACATTTATGATTCCCTTGTTTGCTTGTTGCCTTACTATCCTCTACAGTGCCTCATTTGATTCAACCATAAAGCTTTGGGAATCGGAACATGGGCGACTTCTGCATAGCTTGGATGGCCACAGGTGTGCTATATAATTTTCTTATTTCTCGGTCCATTCTAAATGCATTTCCCTCCAACAATCCGTAAATCATATCCTCAACATTGGGCTTGATATTTACTGATATAAATGGAAAATTCTATGTCAATGTGTACTGATTTATTTGAACCCATCCTATTACACACGACAATGGTTCATAATGATTTCTAAAGGATGAATTACAAATTTAGCCCATTGTGGTACATGCATTTGAAAAATTCCTGCAAAAAGAAAAGATTCAAAAAAAAAAAAAAAAAACTTTTAGGGTGTTTTTTGAAGTGTTTCTTTGGAGCTTCTTCTATAGCATTAAGGGTGTTATTTGGTGATTTTATTAAATTTTTTCCCCAGTATTTTTTTTTTAAAATTTATTTATAAAACATTTTAAAAAAATGTATACCAGACTAGTCATTCCTTTATAAAGAGGGACAAGAAAGAAAGAAAGAATGTACATATTGAAATTCTGACTGTATTTTGCAATGTTCACAATTTACATGCCTACCTACACATTAGTTTTCATTTATATAAACTTGTTGAATCTGCTTTCTCATTGGTTCATTTATGTATATTTGTTTTTGTACAAAAATTTTCAAAATCCAGGGAGCCAGTATATTCTGTGGCATTTAGCCCAAACGGTGAGTTCTTGGCGAGCGGATCACTAGATCGATGCTTGCATATTTGGTCAGTGAAGGAAGCTCGGATTATCAGAACTTTCACTGGAAATGGTGGGATCTTTGAAGTTTGTTGGAACAAGGAAGGGGATAAGCTCGCCGCTTGTTTTGCAGACAATGTGGTGTGTGTTGTGGATTTTCGAAAGTAGAAGAAAGAGTTTGATGAGAGGGAGATTGTTGTGTGCATTTAATTCGTCAATGGTGTTGTAGCAATAGGTCGTTCCGGAGGCTTCAATTCCCCTTGTCACTATTAATTACAATTAGAACCAACCGTGTAAGAATATTAGGGGCTTCGAAAAGTTCTATATATGTATGCATTGAATATAGCGGGACATGGTTTCATTAATTTGAGAGGAATGAAATGAATATTTGATATGATATTTAGCTAGTATGATGAAAAAGTTATTTTTAGTGAATGTGTCAAAATCTCTACTAGTATTTATGTAAATTATTTTGGGCTGTGATTGTTGTATTCTTATTGACATTTTGTTAGGTTACAGACGTGTTCTTGGTAAGTGTTGATTAAGTTCTGGCCATTGTTGGTCAGAATTCCGTTATTTGTAAATCTATTAATCAAGATTTATTTATCTTATTTTGATTAGGGCCACTAATAATTTTATCCCTTCCAACATATTTATATTTGATATTCAGTTTCTAGTGATGATTAATAACATTGAACTATTTACGTTTGTTTTCTTACTCATTGAGGTTTTTTCTTTTTTTCTTTTTTTTTTTCTTTAAAAAAAATAAAAATTTCAAATTAAATTAATACTCTCGTTATTTTATAGATATATAATATAATATAATAATGTAATGTTTATTTACCTTTGATGTTAAAGTAGAAGTAACCTGAAGTAAAAAAAGTAGAGGTTGTTGAAATATTTTAAATATTTTCAGTTTCAGATTTAGTAGATTTTATATTTTGATTTGATATTATCTATAAATTAAATTACTTAGATTTGAGTCTATCGTATTTGTTTTGTATTGCCTATATATATAGACTTTTTATTTTGATGATCAATAATACAATTTTATTATTTTACTCCAAAATTTCTAACATGGTATCAGAACACGGTTTTCCAAAACCAAAACCCTAGTCGCTGCTGCCGCTGTTCGCCGTCCATCGTCCGTCCTTCTCCGACCGTCGTTTTTTCGGTCGCCGTCTTCTGCTTTGGTTCCCTATGTCATGGTGTGGTTGGCTTTGTCATCGGAGTTGATTTCGTTTTGCGACTGTTACCGATTGGATTGTTTGATCTACTTTCTTGATTTGGGCTTTGATTTTGTGATTCACATATTTTTATACGTTTTTTTTTTTGTTATGGAGCGTATGGATGTTCATTACCTATTACTACTATCTTGTCCGACGATAATTATGATCTTTGAATGCAGTCTATGAAAAGTTTCTTAAGTGATATGAAGTTATGGCGAATTGTCACTGACGATATCCGACCAACTGTCTCTCCATCTCATATTGAAGATATTAAATTAGAAATTCTTTAAAAATTCATAACTGGCTATTTGGCTATTTAATCGATGAATTTCTTTAGCTAATAGCCTATTCGTAGTCCTAGTATTATATTCTAAGAATTTCGTATTGATCTGAGCCGAATGAAAAACGGTAGTGTATTGCACCTGCCTGTTTATTCATATCTTTAAGTATTTTTATTTAATAATTAGGCGATATAAATATTATGAGGTATAAGAGTTTTATAGCTAGAATATCGTAGCCTACTAAATATAAAAGTTAGAAACCTAACGAGCTAACTATAGAAAATTAGCTTTTGAATGCTAAGTAGCTCCTATGAATAAGCATATAGCTCAGCTGAATTGAGTAAATAATGGAGCAGGTGTACGTTGGAAGAGATTTGGGTGAAATTGCGAAAGCTAGGGAGTGTCGACAAGAGGTAAGCAGTAGGGAATTAAATCTAATTTTAAGAAATTAGGTATGCATGTTGCATGCGATTCTGATTAATATGTTAACGTGATATTATGTGAATCATTTTGTCAGTGCATGTATATATTTATATATATGTGTGCGTATGCATGTGGGAGACTTCACGGTTTTTGATATTTGATATACGTATTTGATCGCGTTGGTGAATTTATGAAAAGGAGGATAGGTGAGCTGTCTCACCAGCCCTTTTTGGTAAATTCACTTATTTGGCATATTGCACACATATTGCACGGTTTATCGGATATGATTTATGGATCTATCGTCTAGTCGCCGTGTGCGGTAGTGCTAGGCGAGGGCATCATCTGGGGTTAGGATATTCGACCCCGATGTACCGTAACACTTTGGCGACAGTGGACGATAGTAGTCGGACAACTGGGTGACTTAGTCGCACGGTCATTCAAGGATTAGACCCATTGTAGTTGAGATGTATTTGGTCTAATCATTCGTGTTTGGTGTTGTTCCACTCATTGGAGTAGCTACTAGTGAGGTTTACCGGTAGTTTAGGATCATATGCCAAACTCCAAATGTGATCCCGTTAGGACGCGCGAGGAGGAGTAGAGTTTCCGAGTTTCCCTTGGGTGATTTCAGGTTGCACGGATTCTACTACATTACACGGGATAGGGCTAGTCAGCGGGGGTCCTATATTCGCTATCACAGACTATGGGGCGTCTTGTGGTTAATGGCGATAACGTTCGGTTATCTATGTATTGATTGTGGGAGTCGTATGATGGGTATATGGAAGTGACCGGATGACCGTTATATTATTATGAGTTTATCAGGTCCTTCATTGAGTCGAGGATTTTCCGGCTATTTATTGATGATGGTCTAGTGAGCTTGTTATTACGGGGCCGAAGGTATTCCGGCTGCTCACTTAGACAGATGTAGTGAGCCTATGATTATGGAGCCGAGGTTATTCCGGCTGCTCACTTTGGCGGATATATATATGTGGATGTGCATTGTTGTCGAGTTTGATATCTGTATTGCATCATTTCACTATTGGCATGACATGACGCATATTTTATGATTGACGGGAATTAAAATTTATTTTAAAAGGTATGACATGACATATTTCACGTTAGTTCTTAAAATAGATTTAATTCTAGACTGCTTTTAAGAAAATATTTGTTTCAGGTATGCATGGCACATCCGAGACAGGGGACGTCTCGAGATATAGAAAGATGCGCTAAGTGAGTGAACTTACGTCTATTGTATTATATGTAAATTTTTAACCGGAAAAACCTCTTGTTAAGGGGTGTGTTTTGTAAATATTTATAAATTAGATTATGTTATATAATAATGCGCTTTTATGGTAATTTTAGCCTTAACACTGTATTGTGGGGCCCGAAGTAGGAGGTGACGACCTCATGATGCAGTGTGGCGGTAACATTTCCAGTCTGAGCCAACTGGGGGTGTTACAGTACTACTATGAATATTATCCACACCGGTCTTGTGTCCTCCTCTTCCCTATATCTTCCTGATACATATTGCATCCCTGACTTAGCCTTAAATCTTATCTTTGTTGGTCAATTAGTTAAACAAGGTCTTACTATTACATTCTCTTCTGGTGGCGTGCTGGTTCAGGATTCTCAGACGGGTCAGCTTCTCGGGAAGGGATGCAAAATGGGTATGTTATTTGAGCTTGAGTCTCTCTATACCTCATGCACATATCCCCACTTTACAACTCTTACCTCTGATTCCTTTAGTCTTCATTGGCATCTTCCCCTAGGTCATGCATCTTCCAGTAAGGTCCAGTCACTTCATACTAAAGGTCTTTTAAGTCCAGGTCGTTTGGAGTCTTTTAATTATGTAGATTGTAAACTTGGCAAATAACCTACTCTTAGTTTTTCAGAAAGTTCATTTATTGCTACTGAACTTTTTCTTTAGTCCATTTTTGACATTTGGGTTCCTTCTCATGTTGCATCCGTCAATGGTTTTCAGTATTATGTTATATTTATTGATAATTTTTCACAATTTACTTTTGGATTTATTTTTTGAAAAATCGTTCTGAATTACCTTCTACATATGCTCAGTTTGCTCAGATGATTCACACTCAATTCTCACGTCCTATTAAAGTCCTTCGTACTGATAATGCTTGTGAGTTCAATACGTCATCATTTTTCCAGTTTTTATCTAGTCAGGGTACCTTGGTACAACGTTCCTGTCCTTATACATCCCAACAGAATGAGTGGGCAGAACACAAACATCGTCACATTTTCGATACTGTTTGTGCCCTCTTTCTTTCTACTAAGTGTCCTGATCATTTTTGGGGGGAAGCAGCCTTAATTGTTGTTTACAACATTAGTCGATTACCCTCGTCAGTCCTCCATGATGTCAGTCCTTTCGAGCATCTATTTGGTCAGTCCCCTGATTATAGTTTGTTCCATCTATAAGTGTGCTTTGTCCTCCTCCCTCCCCGTGAGCGGACAAAGCTTCAACCTCGAACTCGTTTATGTTGTTTCTTGGGTTATGGCGATGAACACAAGAGTTATAGATGTTGGGATCCTATTTCTAATCGGTCGCGCATATCTCATAATGTCAAATTTTGGGACCGCACCTATTTCTCCACCTTATCCAAGTTTAGCACACCGTTTCACTCATCTTCTCCCTTCTTTTCATCTTCTCTCTCCGATCTCTTCCCAGACACCTCTTCCTCTTCTTCACCACAGTTTATTGATCAATCTGTCTTGTCGCCATCTCCTAGAGTTGATCCGCCTGCGCCTCCTCAGCCGACGCCTCCTAAGCCGACATCTACTCCTACGCCTCTCCCTACTTGTCGTCGCTCCACTCGTGTAAGTAAACCTTCTTCTCACCTTAATGATTACCATTGTTACTCTGCCATTTTATCTCAACATGAACCTAGGTCCTTTCGTGAGGCGAATGCTGATCCGTTATGGCAGCAAGCTATGACTGAGGAATTGCAGACTATGGAAAAGACTCACAGTTGGGATTTAGTGGATTTGCCCTCAGGAAAAACCCCTATTGGGTGCAAGTGGATTTTTAAAATTAAGACACACTCTGATGGTTCCATTGAGCGCTACAAGGCTCGTCTGGTGGCCAAAGGTTATTCCTAATAGTATGGAATTGACTATAAGGAGACCTTTGCTCCCGTTGCTCGTCTCACTACTGTTCGTTGTCTTCTTGCCATTGCGGCTGTTCATCAATGGTCCCTTCTTCAGTTAGATGTCAAGAATGCATTCCTACATGACACATTTTCTGAAGAAGTTTATATGACTCCTCATCCAGGTTTCTCGTCTTTTGGAAAAGTTTGTCGCTTACGTCATGCTTTATATGGGTTGAAGCAGCCCCTTGGGCTTGGTATGCCACATTAAGCACTGCACTATTGGAGTTTAGTTTTACCACATGTGCTTACGACTCTGGTTTATTTCTTCGTCGTTCTTCATTTGGGATAGTTATACTCTTGCTTTATGTTGATGATATGATCATCAC